GAGCTGTACTGATAATCTTTATTGCAAAAGTCCGGTTCCAACCCCAACTCACTGATAGCAGACACAGGTCGACACTGGCTTTGGTTAATGATAAACATAAATAAGAAAGTGTTAGGTACATGTTGTATATGAACAACCATTCTGAACTTCTACAGGAGAAATAACTTTTCATTTACTGTGATCACTTAGATGTGCTTTTTGTAAACAGATCAATTTGCTAAGAAGATGAATTGTTCTTCTCACACTTATATTAACATAAAAAGGAAGCAAAACTCTTCACTTTTATAATATACCTGTCTGAAAGCCTCCTCTTAGCAAGTCTTGAGTTGTGGGAGGGATCAGAGGCACTGAACAGAGCTGATAACAGTGTTCAAAGTACACACTTAAAGTAGAAGCTTTGTTCTGAGAACTCTTCTCTATCATAGTGGCTTGGGGACGGGAGTAAAGTTAATACTGCTTCCTGAGCCTACCATCACCAATAACTTTGATTAGAAAATCTAGAATATAATTTGAGACTTGAAAGATAAGTATGGTCCTGTTGTAAAGTTCTTTGTTGATACCTAGATGTAGCTAAAAATATAACAGGAACTGAAATCCACACAATTTAATAGTTTATTTTCCCTCCAGCTTCATTGTTGATAGAACATGTGCCCCATCACTTCTGCCCTTATTCCTGGGCTGCTTAAACCACAGGCTGATGTAGCCTGCAACATGCTAACAGTGCATTTTGGCTGTAGAGGTCTCCCAGCGAGTGTCTCAAACTGTTCTGACAGAATTCTGAAGTTGAAATGTTTAGTATTCTTCCTATCTTGGAAGCTGGTAAAGTAAAAGGGTTATCAGTGCTCAAATTAAATACCTAGATAATGAGTTGATCGTTTCAGTCTAGGACTTGTTCACCACCAAATATTAATTGGGCTAATATTACTTAATGTATTCTATATTTGAAGTCAGTTTGGAGACTTGAATCACCTTCTCTTTCAAGGTAACTTTGCAAATTGAATAGGGTGGTCTGTGTGCTGGATTTGAAGACTTCTGTTCATGAGGAAGCCCCTTCATGGAGAACTGCAATCATATCTGTAAATGCAACCTGTTTTACTTGATGCGCTCTGTTAAGTAGTTGCACTGAAAGTAGCTGCACTTAAAACTGAACATACATGTAAATAACTGTACATACAGCGTGGAAATTGACCTATAACATTGCCATAGCACTGGGAGGAGCAAGATAAAATGGGGAGCTTTGGACTTGAGAAGAAAGGCTAGAGTGTTAGGTATGATCAGTGGGAATTTGGTCAAGATAATATTTCTAGTTACTTATAGGTAGCTGAAGAATCCATTATTTTCAGATATTGTCTGTATTTTCAGTTAAAGTATATGGCTTGTTTAAAATGGTTGACATAAACTTTAGATTCATATCACAGCTAAACAGCTCTCCAGTTTCTATCAAGGGGTGGAAACTATAAATTATCTGCTTCGGTATACACTTATGCACAGTTAAAATAGATTTTTAAATATTTTTTTTACCACCTTACAGAGACCAGGCTGGTTTTAAATAGATTCCTTTATTGTGTGTTGAAGTGCAGTATTAAAATGCTAAAATAACATTCTGTGCATGAATAAAAGGATTCTGTGAATAAAGTTGTAATGATTTGAACCAAATCCTGCTCTTGCTCTTCCAATAAGCAGTCAGTTTTATAGTTAGAAGGACTGTTTTAATCACTAGTTAGGCATTTGGCTAAACTGTGTTTTAAGAACAAGTATCTGGGCAGTTTATTTGATTTATTCAGAGCCATTGTAGAAATTAAGTGACTACTTAAGATTAAAAGCTTTGGTTAAAATAATGGATGAAAACACTTCTGCAACTGACTTTTTATTTTAGACATCAAACAATTGGATTATATATGTTTAGACCGTAGTAGCTCTGTACTGAACAATGCAAATACATATTCACCTCTTAATTTCTTATATTTCAAGACTTGGGTAGTACTTTTACTGGTTCTGTGGACTGAAATGTAATTTAATTTAAAAAGCCCTTCCCAAAAAAACCCCAATTTATTTCCAGTGTTAAAGTATATGGAAAAAAGCCTTCTACTTCTAGATGAGATCTGCACTAGACTACTCATTAAAAATTTCCTGTGGGTTCCTATCTATCATGGGATGATTTCCTATCTTCAGTTTCAGTTATGCTCATGAAAGTATATTCAAGACTATAAATGACTTAGTGTCATAGCTGTTATTTTGCTGAGAGCTGCTTAAAATAGCTCAGTAATTGACCCTGATGTACAGCTTTCCTGCCTCTTGGAAATGCCTTGAATGTTTTACTAGAGCCTTCTCAAACGGAGATGGTGAGTGAATAATGTCTTTTATCTTAAATTGTTGAGATAATCTTAGAAAGCTGCAGTATCATAATAAATTTAACGCTTCAGTTGTAGTGATTCAGGTAATTGCTGACAGTAGTAGTAGTTTTCATGGAAATACAGATGCTTGAATATTGGTAGTCTACTAGAGCAGGGGTCTTTCCTAGTGCTTTAGATCTTGTCAATATTGTATTTGAGTTTGAACAGCTTAGAGCTGCTCAGTAGTAGATTGGAAAATCACTTGTAAACTTTGCCATATGTTCTGTCCAGTAACTTCAATGTTTTAAGACAAAAAAAGTTAAAAAAACCACAAACTTATGGAGTGATTAAGTTTTTAACAATATTGTCAAATGTGGGAGTGTATTCAAGTTGGTTGTAGTTTTCCAGCTGCTTTAAGTACTTTGAAAATGTTGATACAGATTGACAGGCGTTGTACCACGTTGCACTGAGGTATTAGCCTGTTGTTCAGTGATATCTGAAAACCAGCTGCTGCTATATGTCTTCATAGAAACCTCCTCACGACATCAGGAAGGCACATTGAATAGTTTTGCCATTTTTGGCCTAGGTCGCCGTTTGTCTAATGCTATTTTCTCTTGCTGCTCAAGGGCATTGTGGCTTAAATTAGTTTTCACATGCTATTATGAAACAAAAAGGGAATTTGTGGCTATTTATTGGATCCCTTCGTATAGATATGCTTACAAAAACACACATTTAAGCCTACAAGCAGAACTAAGCAATCTTTTGCTGATTTTTAATGGTTGAGGTTTCTTTGACCTTACAAAAAGTCATGTGGTACAAGTTTACTTAACATTTGAAACAGCACTTAATTCTCCTCTTCAGCATTTTGTCCCATAGTTTTCCTGTGTGAGTGGTTGTGTGTTCTAAGGCTGTAACACCACTGTGGAGTTAATAGTATTATTTGTTAATGTGCATTATTGCTGTCAGTTGCATAAGCAGTTCCTGCAGGAATTGCAGCTTGTTTTAATTTTACTGCAGGGACACAGAGTCCATCTAGTGAGAAGATCAGCTCTTTTTACCTAGTTATATCTCCTTCCTTTGTTACTTTACATTATTTTATAATAAAAGGGAAGTTGACACTTGACTAATTGCAGTGCTAAATGACGTTAGGAGAGTTTGATTCTATGCATTTTTTAGCAATATTGACATGCAGAATGTAGACCCTCTGCCCTCATGAGTCAGAAATGTGACTCTAGCAAGTTAATTTGTGTGCAGCCATTTATTTGCAGTAGTCACAAAATGGTGGAGATTTAGTGCTTTTGTTAAAAACTAGGGGAAAAAATAGATAAGAGAATATATTATTCTGGGATGATGGAGATGCTGGAGCTGAACTGGACACACAGCTTTTGACTTCATTATTCTCTGCCATCTTTAGGAGTGTGCTGTTAATTTCTATCATCTGCTGCCTTGGTGTCTCAGACACTTACTGGTGGAGGGTTTTTGGTTTTTTGTGGGTTGTGTGTGTTTGGTTTTTTTCCCCCTCCACTGTTGTCTTCTGCAAAGTAGAAATATATATGATAAGTTAAACATAGTGTAGAGGACTTTGAAAATTTTCAAACTGGAATATGGATTGTGATATATTTAATAGAGTAGAATTATTGAAAAATAAAATTAGTGTATTATGTGAAATTAACTTCCAACTCTAAAACATCTGGCAGTACTGAAAGTTTAACATTAAAGGAGCAGATTTGCAGAAGCATGTTATTCTTGCAATTGGTGCCAAAGAAAAGGGAAGTACAACTTCCTTTTGTTTCTACATGAATAAATGTGGATAACATTCTGATCATTGGAGAGCAGAAGTCTGACTTTGGACATAGAGAAAACTACCAGAAGACTTTCCAGGACAGTTGTTCTGAAAAGGGAACTTTATTCGCCTTAGCTACGGATTTGATTGTTTATAAATATGTATTCTGAAATTAATATCTCTCTCTTGAGAATGTTTTCCCTGCTGTCAAATGGTAGTCATGTGATTAGAAAAACAATCCAGTGATTTATAACTTCTTTCTTTGAGGTTAGGTAGGAGTAGAGATCTTAAAGGCCAATCTGAATTGCCAAAGCATATTGGATACTCAGAAAATTGGGAGTATTGCAAACCACAAAAACAGTAGTAAGCTGTTAATAATCTTGGTCATCTGAACAGTTACTGAACAATCATTTTCCTGGCTGATAGAGGTAATAGTACACTTGGTTAGAAACCTCTCAAATAACAAATTTCTAACTGT